GTAAAGGACCTTCTTTGTACAAAAACCTGTGAGAAAAAAAGCGAAGCACACACATATAATATGTCGAGTTCTTCAACCATTACATCCTTTCTTACCTACGACCGAAGAGGCAAAGGTCAAGAAATGGGTCTCATCCTTCTTGTTCTTCGCCCCCCCCCCTCTTTACAAACTATGCCCAACTATGCACCATGATCTGTATGGAGAGAGAGCCTTCCAAGGATTTGATACTAGAATAGTGACCCTGACGCAGACTTGTGACGGCAGGTACACTGTGGTTCATCTTTCGAACTCCTATGTACCCCGTGAGAAGCACCAACGTACCGCAGGTTGGGAACCCTTGGAGAACTTCCCAATACAACTGCTGAAGCGTCATGGAATGTGGCATTTTCTAGTGCTTGTAGTGAATGATCTGACATGAAAAGTTGAGTCTCAGCTCAGTTTTACTTTTTACACATAAAGCCGTACAAGTGCAAGCTCCGAAGACATCAAGGACAAAGTCAGCAAAAAAAAAAAAAAAAAAAAAAAAAAAAAAAAAATAAAATAATAATAATAATAATAATAAATAAATAAATAAATAAATAAATCAGCCGCTGAGAAAGTGAGTATTCCTCCTCCAAGAGAAGAGGAGGAATACTCTCCGCAAATAGATCCAGTGGAGCACCTTCTTCGCCCAGCGGCCGCTCCACTTCATAATTGACAATTATTATAATCGATAATTGACCGGGGGCCTTCCTTCGACCCAAGCACAAGGCCACCAAGCAGCTCATGGGCTTACAGATTAATGTATTATTTTTTTTTTTGTTTTATTTGTTCAATGAAAGAAGAGAATAAGACATACAAGAGGAAAGGCAAATTAAGATCAGCAAATCTAAGAACAAAGTAAGAACAGACCCAAAAAAAAGAAAACAGACCCCCCAAAAGGAAGCGTGTTTGCTCGTACGTGAAAAGGGTGTGTGTTGCTGCCATCAAGAAGAACCTCGCAGCCGTTAAATGAAATCCGGATACAATAGTTACCGGTCCCATTCCTCGACGCTGCGACCGGAATGTGATATGCTCTTTGCGTTTGAGGAATCCGAATAAACGTAACCGAGCCAGACTTACGAAATGGTTCGTGCAAAGTATGTGCACTTGCGACACACGTTATAATCATAGATATTAATTATTATCGTATCCGTTACCTGAATATTGCTTTCATCGTTATGTTCAGCTTACCATTTTCATTTTCTTAAAGAAACTGAAATAGTCAATTGTCTTAAAGTAACACTAAATTAAGAAGCCGAAATTTTACAAAACGGATATTCAATCGTAATTATGATAATTTAATTTTTCGTTCTTAATACTAATTCCTTATATGGAACCAGTTGCGCATTTCCTCAACTGAAAATAAACATAAGGATAATGCTCAATGCATCTTATACTAGCCATGCTTAGTGCAATGCCAGTTTATTGCAAAGAAATACCTTTTTATAACTTTTTTATTTTATAATGCATGCAGAATATAAACAACCAACAAACCATGCCGTGTCATTGTAATATGGAAACCTCATGACTTATATTACACATTTGCACGTACATTAATATAACAGGGAAAAATTAGTGGGAAGCTGACACTGAACACGAAATGATGGCGGTGTGATGGAAGATGCGGAATGAGAAAAGAAATGATATATTATTCGTGATTTAAGAACGAGCGTAAAAGGGACAGAGAATAATCCCAAACTTGGGATCTACTTCCCTGCAACATTATATATAGTTTGGGGCGCAGGGACGAGGCAGGGACTGTGGCAGCGTGTGGACAGGGGCAGTGCCGGGCGAAGGCAGGGACCGAGCCAGGGACTGTGGCAGGCGTGTGGACAGGGGCAGGTGCCGGGCGAAGGCAGGACCGGGCCAGGACGGACGCAGCGTAGAGCGGCCCTGAGCTATCTGCAGGTGCAACTCCAATGGCTGGAGGCGACGCAGTAGCTGCAGCAGCGTCCTCTTGTTTAGCCTTTTCTACCTGGGCGATGGCGTGGGCGGGGAGGGGCGGGGGCGTGGGCAGCAGGTCGGACTCCACGCGGTATCCGCCCTCGTCGGCCTCGAACGAAAAGGAGGCGGAGCTTCCGTCCGGGAAGGTGAATCTGGAACGGTGCGTCGGGGCGATTTTCAGAGAAATTTTCGTCGTTTTTTTGAAGAGCACATTTCCTTGTCTTAGCAAACTTTAAGTGAAATGATCTATCTATCTACGAATATAATGTGTGTGTGCCCCCGCGCGTGTGTATGTGTGTGTGCACATACATGTGTGTATATATATATATTATTTCATGATTAGAAATTGACTAAATTCAACAAACTCTATAAGCCAGATCGTCATAAGTAACCATAAGCGTCCTGTCCCCTGGCAATCGCAGGCGAGCCGCAGACTCACGTCCATCCGCCCTGCGAGGCAACAGCCCCCGCGGCCCCCGACGGCTGCCCTCTCCTGCGACTGGTGCCGTGCCTCGTAGCAGTCTCGAAGCTGAAGCTGTAGGCGCCGGACGCGTCGGGGCCCTCGCGCTCGTCCTTCAGAATTTCCACCGGAGGGGCCTGCGCGCCGTCGTCCTTGAGCTGAGTGACAGCACCTCCGTCTTGGCCCTGGTAGTTGTACTGCGGGACGGCGGAGGCGGCTGCTGCCATGCACAATACTATGAACTGGAATAGCATAATTATTTTGAGGTTAGGGACACTCCGGACGTTTCTCGTGAAGCTGAAACACGAGTAGCGTCAGCTCTGGACTGAACTATAACGAGTTTAGCTTTCCTGGGAAATTCCTAAGCCAGTCGCATTCTCCAAGCCATCCTAACCAATACAGCAGACACCTTCGGGCAACTCGGCATCAGAGAGAATGTTGCGGAGTAAACCCGCAAGCCAAACTGGAGTTCGGAGTCAAGACAGAAGCTCTTCCTCACCGTGTCCATCCTGACGTGGCACTTGAGGCAGACGAGCGCCTTCCTCTCAGCTGGTCCCTTTTATACGCCGCCTTTCTAACGCGAGATCGAGCCGCTGGGAAAGGCAGGAGAAGGTAACGGCGGAGGAGGCGTCGAAGGAGAGGAGAAAGCAGAGAAGGTAAAGTGTGATGAACATGTGTAATGTACGCAAAGCAACAGCAAGAGAGAGGATGAAGTACGTGAAAAGAAAGAAAGAAGAAGAAAAACATACATGTCTACATGGACAATGAACAAGAAATGTACACAAGGATACCCACAGTAGCACAAGTGAACACTGCTACTCAGAAACGAAACGAAAAAAAAAAAAACATTTACCACTGACAATCGGAAAGTAAAGTTATAATTTCCGAAAATTTGTCCAAATTCCTTCTGGTAGCTATCACCATAAACATATATCTAAAGAAGCGTGAATACCAGTTCCTTTAATTCAATTCAGTCCTACTTAAAAAAATAAAAAAAAAAAATGTGAAAATAAATTGTACATAGAACGGAAACAGCAGAGTAAGAAACCAAAGGCAAACTGAAGAAAATTAATAAACTGGGGCACACTAAAAACTGCACTGAATAAAAATGTTGTCGCACCGAGGGTCTCCAGCCTGCAACAAACGTGCGCGACGAATAGTAAAGTAGCCCTGTTTTTTTTTTTTTTTTTTTTTTTTTTGTTAAAATGTCCATGACTCGAATGAAATTAATTAAATTTTGTTCTCTTTAAAAAGTATATCTTAATATGAATATATAAAGATATATATGTATACACAAACACACACACACACATATATACATATATATACATATATATACATATATATACATATATATATATATATATATATATATATATATATAAAACACACACACACAACATAATATATATATAATATATATATATATATATATATATATATATATATATAATTATAATATAACATATACATATATATATATATATATATATAATATATATATAATATGTGTGTGTGTGTAGTATGTATATTATGTATATGTATGTATGTATGTATATATGTATATACATGTGTGTATATATATATATATAATATATATATATATATATATAATATAATAATTATATATGATTATATATATAATATTATATATATATATAAATATATAATATATAATATATA